GATTGATTCAGTGACTGGGGTAATCGGGATGGGTGTGTCAGAGGCAATGCGATTGGCACAGGATAGAGGCAGGGTTTAGGGCTGTTGTACATAGGGTCACTATGAGTCGCAAATGGCTCGACGGCACATAACAACAACAACAACAACAAAGAGAAAGATTGTTAGATGAGTCTATGCTCTTGAAAACAGAATGAATTGAAGGAAAATGGAGTCAAAATGGTGTCTTTTTTCTTTCCATGTATTTCTCTATTAACTATTCTACTTTACTAGCCAGTGCCATTCCATTTACTGATTACAAAAAAAGAAGGTAAAAAGCTTTCATTGATACTCAACTAATTCAAGTAGGAACCAACTCATAAAAAAACTGAAGTTATCCTATGGGAGAACTGGTTTTCAAGAGGTCAGACTCAAGAGTGTTAGTTCCCAGCGTATTGACTAGCCAACAGATTTTTTTTATTCACCAGTTGATCGAAGGCAGAAAGACGGACAATCTCTTCCACCTGTGATTTAGTGTCTCTGAAAACTCACTGGAGGGTCAACTATGTCTTTTCTGACACAATAGCACACAGCACAAGAGCAACAACCACATTAGAAGAAAAGAGGAAAAGAAGTAAAAATTTAATAGCATGAATAAGTATTTTAAGACAGAGAGTAAACAGGAGCATCATCTTTTTCTAAAACATAAGATTTCTGTACAAATCATGTGCTAGGTAGAGGTGAATATATAATAGTAGACCCCAGGAAGTGCCTGATCTTTATAACTATTAAGGTGTCAATCTGATTTTAAAGATATAAGTCTTAGAAAGTGGTTGCTATATAAAGAAAGTCTACTATGCTCTCCCCACTTTATAAAATATAGAATTCTCATTCTCTTGTTAGATTAATTCTCTCAATACTCCCCTTTCTTCTTCCATATTGTTCAATCAGACATCCTGTCTACATCAAACCTCAGAATGGCCCTGAGCCCCTTTTGATGTCTGAAAGAATTTGTCTGTTTTGGCTACAAGGTCCAGAATTTAGATCTGTGTACATCATGGTTTCTAGGGTATTAGTCTTTCATTTAATGTCAGATCTCAGAGTTAGTTTTTCTGATTCATGAACACAACTCCCCACATGAATCTCAGTTTTCACTCTCCTGCTTCTGGGTTCTTCTTTTGCTTTAATTGGAAATTGTTCTCCAAATTCTGATGCTTTTACTAGGATAAAAGAGCAAAGAATAGAGAACATGAAAGAGACACACTTCAGGAGCTCACCATTAATCAACTAAGCTTTTATTTCCCAATAAAATCCCCAGGCAGAGTCTTCAGTATTACAATAGCCAAGAACTCTCTCTGAGAAGAGAGTGGATCCACAATTCAAATTAAATGTTAATCTGTTGAGCAGGCACGAGGAGAAGATGTATAAGGGGAACAAGGGCCTACTCATTGATCTGGGCCTAATCTATCACTCTGTTTGCTTAGAAGTAGGTGTTTGTTCCTCTTTAGCCCAGTCCTGGACATCTGCTTTGCCAAAGATGAGGTAGATAATCAGGCTCAATATGTTAATAGAAGCTGAAAGCAAGAAGATATTTCTCCAACCCAACTCTGAATCCTGGAAACAGAGAAATGAAAGTCATTAACTGCCACCCAGTTTTTATCCCTCCTGGTTCAAAAAAAGGATCTCCCTCTTTCAAATCTGTGCCATCCTCCTGGGAATTCTAGTTGTTCTTAGGTATGCCAGGAACATTTCTGCCTTTGGGTTATTTTCCTGCCTAGTTCTCCTACTAGAAAACTCTTCACCTAGTTGTCTACTCCTCCTAGTCTTTGCTTCTGTGTCATATTTTTTTGGTGAATTTTCTTTAACTCTTCTGCTTATAACTGAGGAAGCTTTAGTGGCCTAGTCCACAGAGAGCTGTACTGCTAACTCAAAGGCCACACTTCTCTGGCAGTTTGAATCCACCAGCCACTCTGAAGGAGAGAGATGGGTAATGTCTTCCCATGCAAACTATAGCCTCAGAAAAACACCTGGAAGATCAACCATGAGTCAGTCCAGACTCTATTGCAGTGAGAAAGAAAGATTCCCCCCCCCCAAAAATGGAAATCCCATTTATCTTTTATGCATCCTATTTCTTTTTTTCCTCTTTATTCTTCTCAGGCACTTACCATAAACCAATAGACTAGATATTTTATTTCTTTTCCATTGGTATCCCTTTCTATAGATTTTATTAAGGTAAGAACTTTGGTTTATTTCCTTTAACATTGCTTAGTACATAATAATAAATAATATCTATTCGTCAAATTAATAAATTGACAGATGAATAAATGAAAGAGAAGACAAAAACCATTTGAGAATTTTTATCTCAGCATCTGGGAAGTCTGCTATTAGAGGGCTCTCCAAAGTGCTAAAGAATAATGAAGTCAGTCTAGAGAGTAAGGTGTGTCTTGTTCAGGCCATGGTCTTTGCAATTACTTGTTTATGCAGCTGAGAGCTGGACAATGACTAATGATGCCAGAAGAATCTATGCCTTTGAGCTGCGGTGCTGGAGAAGATTATTGAATATACCATGGACTGCCAAGAGAACAAACAGGTCTGTCTTGGAGAGGGTGAAACCAAGTTTTTCTTTGGAGGCTAAGATTTTGAAGTTCTGTCTCACATATTTTGGGCATGTGGCATTGAAGAAGAACATCACGCATGGAAGGATGGAGAGATAGAACAAGAGAAGAAGACCCCAGCTGGGATGGATTTGCCACCGTAATTGGGATTATAAGAGTAGGTGGGTCAGAGTCAGTGAGACTGGCTCAGAATAGAGCAGTTTCAGAGCTATTGTGCATAAGATCACTATGAGACACAGGCAACTCAATGGCACATAACAACAATTCAACATTTATTTCCTAAAAGGATGATTGTTGGTGATTAGAAGAGGATTAAAACTTCGAAAGAGAGAAAGCATTATTATCATAAAAAGAACCTTTTTTATTTTATTCTCAACTCACTTTCCTGACTTAAACCTGCTGCCATTGAGTAGGATCCAATTCATAGCAACACTGTAGTACAGAGTAGAAATGCCTTATAGTGTTTCCAAGCCTGTAATATTTAAGAAGCAGCCTGACACATGATCCTTCCTCCAGAGTGGCTTGAAGGTTCAAAGCACTGACCTTTCAGTTAGCAGTCAAGTACTTTAACTGACTGTGTCATCATGGATCATTTTTCCTGACTTCTGGGTGGAAACTTACAAAAACCAAACAAACCCTTAAATATGATATTCTTATGAATATGCTACATATCTTCTACATATAATTACTATATAAATAAGATTCTTATTTACACTTTACACCATCAACTGGGTTCTTTTATAACTAATATAGTTTCTTGCATAGAAAGTCTATACAAATGTAGAAACACAAGTAAGTGATACTTGCTCTGAGGATTTTAGTATATTAACAATTTTCAGACAGGAAGGTGAGCTGCAGGTTGCTCTTTCATTCAGTCCTTTACCCAGCATCTGATTCACGGATTCTGTTAATACACGCTCCATTCTTATATGTAGTTATTGCGTGCCATTAAATTAGAACCAATCCATAGGTGATCCTCCAGTGGGTTTACAGAGGCAAAAAGTCAGACATAAAATGATTTTCCATCCTTCTCCCTCAGAACACCTGGTGGATTCAAACCATGTGCCTTTGAGATTATAGTGCCACATTTTACCCCAGGCCACCGACCAAATGACACCATTTTCCCCATTTTTTCCCAATATTTTAGCAATGATGATGGTGCTCTGAAGGTGAAAGATGAACAACCTCCTCCTACATGATTTATAGCCTCAGAAACCCAATGGGGGGTCAACTATGAGTCAGTTCAGACCCAACAATGAAGGGGTTTTTGGCATGAGGTATGAGGTGTTTTTGGATTATTTATTGGCTTGCTTAAAATCGCTCATCTATATTGTGTTTTGTTTTGTTTATTTTTTTAATTCTTTTTTTGTGTTTTACCATCAAATCAGATCTCACTGGTACAGGAGCAGATTGCCCCTCCTTCTCTAGCAAATCATCTGGTGGATTCGAACTGTGTTCTTCTGATATTGCATGGCAGTTTCTTGCCACTAGGCCACCAGAGCTCCCCTATATTGTGTTTTATACAATAATTCATATACATTGTATCTTATAAAACTAATTACTATTGATCTGTGCCTACTATCCCAGGAAACACCTCAATGTGGGGCAGACCAGGATAGTTGACCACTCACTCTACTAGTTAGGAAAAAACATCAAAATTATTGTTAGAAAGATTGAAGTTTACTGTGAGAAGCTCATCAAATAAGAACTTGGAAACATAAACTCATAAAATTGAATAATACTCCCAACACACTGAATATCATTACCTTCTCCTAAGTGAACTTTGTAGATCCTACATATATTCCTTGAGTTTTTTTCTTAAGAGTATTTTCTTCAAAACTATGACCTTACCTGACTCAGTAAAAATCCAGTCGCAGTGGGAGAAAGGGCTCCAGCTGCGTATCCAAACACTTGAGATAGTCCCGTAAGAACACCAGCGTACCTGTTAGAGATAACAAGACATTTATCTATGAGCTAAAGATTCTTCTCAACTGCACTGTTACGTTGTGCTTATTCTTAGGGAAGCTTGAACTTTTGCTGATTTTGAAATAGATTTAGTGAAAAGGACCTAATAGTTATTATATAATCGTGTGTTGACATCTAAAACTTCTAAGAGGCAACTAGTACTAACACAATAACTTTATTACTAGAAAATGAACAGTTTGATGGTTTGCACCTGGTTTATAATTTCCCATGCTTAATGATATTGAACCTGATCTTGCATTCATGTTTTGCATACCAAATATCATTACTAAATGAGATAGCTCCAAGATATCCTGTCAGTTCAGTATCTGAAGAGGGAATATATTCTGTGTGGTTGATTCAGTCTTGGACAGCAATATGTAGAAGCCAGAGTCATTTCTGATCATCAACTATAATTTCTTTCTCCTTCTGTAGAGGCTCTCTCACCTCATTTCAGTCTTATATGAGCATTCTCTGTGGAGTTCATCACCAGTATCAGTTATTCAACCCTGAGAAACTGTTGCATTCCTTAACAAGGGATATCTATGGGATTCTTCCTCAGGTGAACTGTGATCATGGCATTGTGATGTTATGAGCCACGATTTAGGTTCTTATAGAAATGACTTGGATTTAGGGTTGGTAAGCCCTTGTGACTTGTTGCACATGTCACACCTTACTCATGTGTCAGAGTAGGTTAAAGCTCCTTTGAATGGGACTAGGCTTTCGTCAGAATAGTCAAAGGGGTTCCTACCGAGGAGCAATATCCAGGAGATTAACCAAGACCCCTGAGAAGCATAGGCTGTTGAAGGCAGAATTCAGAACCAAGAAGGTCACAGCAGTTCTTACATTGGACCTAAGCCAGTACAGGGACACGAGGAGCATGGATGGAATGAGAATTCCTGTAGGAAGACAGACACAGAGTAAATGGATGGCTTCTCAGAACATTGAATGTCTTCTCTTACAACTGGTTAGCTTCTTACCTACTGCAGTGAAGAGTTTCCTTACGGTGATGAGTCTAAGGAATTTTCTGGAAATGAGAAAATCTGCAAACAGACCTCCAAGGATTGTGAAAATGCTGGCAAACACAGATGGCAGGGAAGACAGGATTCCACTCTAAAGACCAGAGATGAGGTGAGGTACTGGTTCTCTGCCTCACTCACCATAACCCAGAGAGATGCCTGGACTACTTGTACACATCTATGAGTTCATGTATTTATCACCAATTTATAGATATTTGTTGCTAGATTGCATCAATATCATTTTAATGTCTAGAGGAAAATAGACATTATACAGAAAATGACTACTGTATTTTTTATATAGAAAGATCACCTGGAAATAAATGTTAAAAATACCAAAACCATGTTAAAAAATAGGTAAAATAATTACACTAATTTACAGGAGAGAAAAGAAATATTTACTAAATGCATTACAAAACATTCAGCCTTATCTGGAATAATTCTTCTTTGTTTTGTAACAGAAGTATAAAATAAAACCATAGATATAATTATTTTATGGACAAATTTGTAAAACTCGAACATTTTCAGCATGCTCTGTAATATTTTTTAGAATAAGTGGTCATTTTAATAATTTTTTTTCCCTTCAATGAGAGTTAAGGTTTGGATGGTTTCTTCCAAACATATAAGTGGAAGCTCTAATTCCTGTACTTATAAATACAACACTGCTTGGAAATAGAACTATTTTGTATGTTAAATAGATCATTTAAGGAAAGTGAATCCAAAATATAATCCCTTCTGAGTGATGTCACAGAATATGAGAAAGCAGACATGGAGAGACACACACAGATGGAAGAGAGATATCACACGAAAGTATAGGTACAAGCAGCCAAAGCATCTTGTCGCACCTAGACATTCACCTAGACCCAATACCTCTAACACTGACACAATACTCAACTCTATTCTTTAATGACACTTATTTGTCTCTCATATTTTGGAAATATTGGGGGTGTGGGTGGGAGGCTGTTCTTGTGAAAAGACATCATACAGGTAAGGTAGAGGGCCAGCAGAAGAGAGGAAGAAAGATCCCCAACTAGAAGGATTAGCATAATGACTACAACAAGGACTTAAGCATGGTACAGATCATAAGGATGGTATAGAATTGAACAAAGTTCCAAGATGTTGTTCACAGAGTTGCTGTGAGTCATAGTCACCTCAATGACATCTAACACTAATGGGTGTGGAAATATTTGTGTGCATGTGTGTGTGCTTCAGTCATGAAAAAAAGAATAAATAGATAATACACAAAAAATTCATACTATACACCATTATACATCAGACCCATATACACATCAACATGCCTGTCTACGTACCTATAGACATATTTAACCAGATACATAAACCTTTATGCAAAAGTCCATTGAAAAGTTGCTGCTCTATCAAGTCTAATATGATGTTGACCTATACCATCCTTTCACAAAAGGCAGCAAGACATATGAGATCAATAAAAATGCAAATTAATCCTGCTACATTACTCAAATAAAGTTCTCAGCCTTAATCTCTAGATAGTATAAACACGGAAAAAGCATCATAATAATACCAAGAAATATTCAAGGAGAACACAAGGTGCTTTCTATATACTTACATCTCTTAGGTTAGTTTCAAGTACAGAACTGATGTATGTTGGTGTGAATGTCATCAGGATAAAAAAAGTCCAGCCATAAGAGAAAAAAGAGATTAATAGGGACCAAAGTGGTAGAGATTTGATCATAGCCATAATGGGAAGAGACCAGCCTGGAGAATAATTCTGGAAGAAAGCATATATCAACAATCACTTAATCAGAGACAGGAGTTCTCCACACTGCACTCTTCACAGCAGAGACATCCAGCCAAACTTAATGGGAAATGGCAAGGGAACTCCTGCAATGTACCTCCTGGGCCAGTGCACATTGGATGTACTTCTTCTCACTGATGCTGATAAAGGGATGATGCATTGGATCTTCATAAACAAGAGAAAACCAGAGAAGACAACAGGCACAGCCAATTCCACCTAAAAAAAGAAAATCCAATGAGCACTACATTGGAGTTATTCATTTTGGCTCTGCCTTGGAAGGATTAGTGTGCTTAACAGAGGTGACTGGCCCAGTTCTATCTTTTCCTTCCTGAATCTATCCATAGCCTTAACATAGATTGGAAGTACTTGCTTATCTTTTGACATTAGACTTGACCATGTAACTTGTTTGGCTTTATAAACTTGTCTTCAATTGTGACTTGAGTGAAAGTTTAAAAAGCAAATTAATTTTTTATCCATCCACTCACACACTTGTTATCCTGTGATATTAGTTTCAGTAACTACAAGATGAGGGCACTTTTCTTATTTCTCCTTTTTAATTTTGGTTTCCATTAATCCTTTCTATTCCTCTCTGTGGACTTTCTTTCTTATATTTTATCTTTCCTTTCACCCTTCTTAATATGTATTTACTATCTATTTAATAACTTTTACTCCTTTTTCTAATTTCCCTCCCGTCACTGGTAATCATTCAATCATTCCTGTTTATAAACCTTTCTTTAACTCAGGATAATAATAGTCTTATTATAATTGTCCTTGGAAAAGGACATCATGATTGTAAGGGTGAAGGGACAATGCAGGAGAAGAAGATGCTGGATGAGATGGATTGACACAATAACTGGGGAAATGTGAGTAGGAGTGTTGGAGATGGTGAGATTGGTTCAGGATAGGGCAGGGTTCAGAGCTGCTGTGTACAGAGTCACTCAATGGCACATAACAACAATACAACAATAACAATAATGGTCTTGTACAAAGTCTTTCCTTTTGTAACTGTTTTAGCTGATTCCATTTAGTGTCCTGTAGATACATCCATGTTAAACAATGTTCATTTAATTCTATATCATTTTGTATTGTTGCATAGAACTTAACTGCATGATTGTACCACAGTTTCTTTATCTGGTTTTCCATGGATAGATACTTAGGTTGTTTCCATATCTGCTATTATAAGCATGGTTGTGCATATTTCTATTCATGTCCATAACTCTTTTTTTAATTATTAAATTTTATTAATTTTAATGAACATTTACAGAGATTTTGGGTTTTCATTCATTCATTGTTGCACTATCATGTCCATAACTCTTATTTCTTTCAAGTATTTGCCCTATAGTGAGATTCCTGGATAAATAGTATTTCTATTTCCAATTTTCTGAGGAAGCATCAAACTTGACTTGCTTTTAATAACATAGAGTTAATAGGAGATTAGAACTTACATATGTTTTTATTTGCCTCTCTGTGTGGGTATCTGAAAGGGGGGAGACCATATTCCACTTAATCTGCTTTTGAATAAATATGAGAGATACAAGTTGCAGAACTGCCAATTATCTCACAGAACTGGGATCATAAGTGATTATAGGGGTTTTTCTTTTGATGTGAGGCCCTCCAAGACAACAGACAAAAAATGTAATCATGAGAAAGCAGGACCTCAAGCACACAAGCTGACACCCAACAATATGGACCTTTGACCTTTGCAAAATGGAAACCCTACAAAGTTAGGGTTTTCATCTAAGACAGCTATGTGCCCCAACTATTGCATCACACCAGGGAGGTGTCAGTTCAGCTACTGCAAGTGTCTGCTGCAGAATGGCTGCTGCCTTTGGGTGCATGATAACACAATGGTTGTGGTTTTATGCCACTGAGTTTGGGAAGGTTTGGAAATGTACTCTGATACAGACAATCCCCAACTCTTTCATTTTCTTGTCCAATATATTGACAAACTTTCTCATTGTAAGGACAAGGTACCATCTCTCCTCCTACCTATACTTTCCTCTGAGTCTTTCCATTCTGCTCCTATTTGATTAAAAGCCCGTAAGAGTTAGGAGTTAACAGTTTATTATTTTGTTCAAATAATTAACCTACAAAACTTCAAGACATGACCTGAAGTAAATCTTTAAGAAATAAATTTCCTCTAAAATCAACAATGTTTCCACCAATGAATGCAAACATGAAAAGAGCAGAATGGACATCAAAGTTAGCAATGTCACATATTGGAGTTGGGAGAATTTAGGGCCACTAATATTTAATGCGTTATTACTTCTAATTACTATTTCCCAGACTGCAGAACCATTAACCTCTCTCAGAACTTGAATACTTCTTGTCATTTTTCATTTTTTACATGTGTGATAAATTTGAAGTTTGAAAGTGAATGTGCAGTTAACCATATTTCACACACAACAACAGAGAATAAGTTGGCATGACATTGAAAGAATGGTTGATATAAGACAACTGGTCCCTAATGAAAGTATTGAAGAGACTTTCTCTTAGGCATCAGACAATATGAAATTTTCAAATAGACTATTTCCTAATCAAACACAAATGAGAGCTTGAGAGATGAGAGCAACTGGAAGATTTTCAACCAGAGTTGGACAAAGGTAAGATTATTACTATTACAGTATTTCTGTAGAAATATTTTATGTATCTTTTGGAATTTGTTCTTCAGTTCCTTGAGCTTAAGAAATGCTGAGCAAGTCTGACCCTTTGATTTTCTGATTCCAAGTCCTTGCACATTTCATTGTAATATTTTACTTTGTCATTCCATGCTGCCTTTTGAAATCTTCTATTCAACTCTTTAGTATCTTGAATTCTTCCTTTGCTTTGGCTTCCAATGCAATTTTCAGAGTTTCTTCTGACATCCATTTTGGTCTTTTCTTCCTCTTCTGTCTTTGGAATGACCATTTGCACTCTTCCTGGATGATACCCTTGATCTCCTCCCACAACTCATCTGGTCTTCGCTCATTAGTGTTCAAGGTCTCAAACCTGTTCCTGAGATGGTTCTGAAATTCAGGTGGGATAGACTCAAAGTCATATTTTGGTTCCTATGGACTTGGTTTAATTTTTCTCAGCTTCATCTTGAACTTGCATATGAGTAGTTGGTGGTCTGTTCCACAATCAGCTCCTGGCCTAGTTTTCACAGCTGATATTGAGCTTCTTCAGTGGTTCTTCCCACATATGTAATCAATCTGATTCCTATGCATACCATCAAGTGAAATCCATTTATATAACCTGTGTTTATGTCTCTTAAAAAACGTATTTGCAATGAATAAGTCATTGCGCAAAATTCAATCATTCTCTCTCCAGCTCCTTTTCTGTCACCGAGTCCATGTTTTCCAACTACTGATTCTTCTTCTCTGTTCTCAACTTTTGCATTCCAGTCACCCATTATTATCAATGCATCTTGATTGCATGTTCAATCAATCTCTGACTGTAAAAGTTGATAAAAATCTTCTATCTCCTCTTCCTTGGCTCCGGTTGTTGGTGCATATATCTGAATGATAGTGGTATTCACTGGACTTCCTTGTATGAGTATGGATATTATCCTGTCACTCACAATATTGTACTTCAAGATGGATCTAGCAATGGCTTTCTTAACTTTGGAAAATTATTTTGGCATATCTTCTGAGTATTATGTTCACTCCCAAGTCTTATTGAATCTGCTCTGTCCTTGAATTTTTCATTTCTCAATATCTTTAAATCAGCATTTAACTTCAAATAAGGTTAAACTCCTACTCTATTTTTCTTCTAATATTTGGCTAAATTAGAAGTAGCTATTTCATTACTAAGTTGTACCTGAAATGGAATCTTCAATTCTTTCCTATGCAGCTGAAAGTTGGGAGATGAATAATGATAAAGAAGAATTAATGCTTTTTAATTTTGATGTTGGTAGAGTGTACTAAATATCCCATGGACTACCAAAAAAAATCTGTCTTGAAGGAAGTGCAACTACAGTGCCCCCTAGGGGCAAGGATGGACACATTTTGTCTCATACTTTGGGCATGTTTTCAGAAGGAACCAGTTTCTGGGAAAGGGGAAAGTCAGTAAAAAAGAGCAAGTCCTTCAATGAGATAGATTGACACAGTGACGGTAACAATGGGCTTACACATGTCAGAGATCATGAAAATGAAAATGATGGATAGGGCCAGGTTCAGATCTGTTGTTCATAGGGTCACAGTGAATTGTAATCACCTGGAGAGCATGTAACAACATTACTTGAATGAGCATGATTTAAAACATAATTCCTCTAATAGAATATTTTTTCAGGGTATTCTGTGGAGCTCCAGTGAGTTAGTGGTAAGGAACTATGCTGCTAACCTGAGGGCACATGGTTTGGATCCACCAGCTGCTCTACAGAAGAAACATGGGCAATCTCCTCCTACCCAATGTACTGCCTCTGAAAATCCACTGGAGGGTCAGTTATGGGTTAGCTCTGACTTGATAGCACTTAACTATAACAACAGGGTGGAATATTGGAGCAAAATATAAAAAGCGCCAAGCTTTTTGGTCTTCCAGAGATTGGTCGAAACCCTGAGAATATGGGTTTTAGTCATTTTTTGAACCCAGAAAAAAATCAACCCCATGACTTAACTTTTACCTAAATAATAGAACTATAAAGTGAACAGTAACACCAGGTAGGCACCCATTCATTAGAATAAGGAACCACGTAAAGTAAAAAGAGTAACAAAGATAAAACCCTGAAGGCAGAAGGAAATAGAAGAGCAGGGTTAATGAGAATCACATGGAGGAAGTAGGGTAAGTACAGTTACATTGTGGATATTGTAATAAATAGAATAAAACAAACTATAAATGATAGATGGAACACCAATTTGCTTTGTAAGTTCTCACTCTAGTCACAATAAAAAAATAAAGCCTGATCTCTTTAAGATGTCATTTTTCAGATCATGAGAAAAAAACTATGCTGGATTTTTATCAGTTCAATTTAGAAGCATGAAATGATGTTATAATGCCCTTAAATAATAAGGGTTATTCTAGCCACACACTCAGGTTACTGACTTGTAAATGTCACTTTGGAAATCAGCAAGATTAACTACAAGTAACACTACATGATTAATTGAATATTTTCAACATTGGCTGTACAACTATTCATATCAAATAGGATATGGGTAACCATAACTGCTTTCATGAAAGGAAAAATCATGCCTAGCATTCTTTGTCAATGAAGGAGGCTTAAAAAGCACAACTTACCAAAGATATAGAAGATATAAGGCCATCCTAATATCTGGCAGAGGAGGCCACCAGCAGCAAAGACCGTGAAGGATCCCAACGTTACCCCTGAACACAAAATACAAACATATTCTAGATGAAATGCCCATGCTTAAGACTGTGATTTTTTTTTGTTAATCAACCCTTTAATAAGGCTGAATTGTACAGTGATTACAACATACATTTTAATCTAAAATACCTAGGTTCAAATCTGTCCTTTCATTCAGTAATTATCTCAAGTACTACATATTAAATGGGAATAATTATAGATTATTTATAATTATGAGGCTACATTGAAATAATAAGTGCAAAGCACACTATATAGAAATAAACATGCATGTAGCATGTTGTTTTTGTTATGTGCCAGTAAGTTGAGAATGACTCATAGCGATCCTATGAACAAAATATCTGAACCCAGTCCTGTCTTGGGCCATCCTCAGCCTTCCTGATACACAAGAGCTCATTTCGGCAGTCACTTTATCAGTCCACCTGGTTGAGGGTCTTCCTCTCCTTCTTTGACCTTCCACCCTTCCCAGCATCACTTTCTTCTCCAAGGAACAGCACCTCTAGGGAACATGCCTAAACTATGTGAGTTGAAGCCTCATCATTCTTGCCTCCAAAAAGAACTCTGGTTACATCATTTCCAAGACATCATTTTCTTCTCTTGGCCATGCATGGGATGTCCAGTGCTCTTCTCCAACACCACAGCTCAAAAGCCTCAATTATTTTTCTGTCATCCTTATTCATTGATTGCCTAACTCTCAAATGCACAGCTACTAATCAGAAAGACTATGGCCTGAATCAGAGACACCTTAGTCTTTGAATTGACATCACTACTCTTCAAGAATTTGGAAAAGTCCCTAACTACAGATTTCCCCAGTTCAATGTGTCTCCTTATTTCTGGACTGCTGGACAAGGGTGTTTGTTGACTGGGAATTCAAGCAAGATGAAGCTGTTGACAGGTTCAATCTCCTCTCCTTCTGTCATGACCTTGTCTATTGATTCATTAGTAAGAATCTTTATTTTCCTGACATTGAATGCAATCCATACTGAAGGCTGCATTCCTTGATCTGGAAAAAGTATTTCAAGTCCTTCTCACTTTCAGCAAGCAAGATTGTGTCATCTGCATAACACAGGTTATTGATGAGTCTCCAATCCTGATGCCACACTCCTCCTCATAGAGTCCAGCTTCTCAGATAATTTGCTCATCATACAGATTGAATAAATATGGAGAGAAAATACAAACATGGTACACTCCCTTTCCAATCCCAGACAATACTGTACTCCCTTGCTATGTTCGTACAACAAGCTTCTTTGTCCAGGCAAATGTTCCACATGAGCACATCAAGTGTTCTGGGATTCCCATTCTTAAAAACATTCTTCTGGTATTCCTTACTTTCATTCAGGATCCATCTGACATCAGCAATGATATCCCAGCAATGACCTCTTCTAAATCCTTCTTATACTTTTGGCTGTTTCTCATCCATGGCTCCAGCCATTTTTTAATTATTTTCAGCATTATTCTGCTTGCATGAGATATCAGTGATACTGTTTGATAATTTCCATATTCAGTTGAATCACCTTTCTGAAGAATGGGAACAAATATGAACCTCTTCCAATCCATTGGCCTGACAGCTATCCTCCAAATTTCCTGGAATAGACTGGCGAATGCTTCCAAGGCTGTATCTGTTAATTGAAACAAGTCAATTGTATCCCATCAATTCCTGGGGCCTTTTCATTTTTCCAATGGCTTCAACACAGCTTTTACATCCTCCTTCATTACCATTGGTTCCTGGTTATAAAGTACTTCTTGAAATGCTTCAGTGTCAATCAATTCTTTCTGGTAGAGTTACTCTGTGTATTCCATCCATCTTCTTTTGATACTCTCTGGGTCATTCAATACATTGAGTATAGCATCTTTCAATATTGTGACACAAGGCTTAAATTTGTTTTTCAGTTCTTTCAGCTCAAAAAATTCAGAGAGAGTTCTTCCCTTTTTATTCTCCAATTCCAGCCCTCTGCACATTCCACTATAACACTTTGATTTGTTCTCCCAAGCTACCCTTTGAAATCATCTGTACAGCTCTTTCGCTTCAACAAATTTTTCATTAGTTTTGGTTTCTCGATGCACCATAGTAACATATAAACAAAGGTTTTGGTCACAGAAGTAATGACAAAGAAAGACAGTGGTAAGGTTCCCATCTTCTATATGTAGAATGGCTGGAAATCATCCTGAATATACCTGATAAGATTATTGAACAACTTTGCAGGGAAAGTAGTTTGGGTGAAAAGTTTTACTCAGTTGAAATGCCATTGCTGAGAACTCTTGAGCTGTGTCTATAAGGTGAGGATTAGGATAACACTTACCTGACATAGCAACACTATTGAGCTGACTCCTTTCCATAGGAGGAGCCCATTTGACCAAAATGGAATATTCACCTGTTGTTACTAAAACCTAAAGAAAAGAGAAAAAAAAGTTACTATTGCATTCTTGGATGCTTATGTTTATTGTGGGTCTATTTAAACATAGAAAACATCTACATACCTGAGCTATTCCTTGGATAACCCGAACGACAAGGAGAACAGTCACTCCAGTATCAGCTGCCAGTGGAATGAACAAGGCCAGGACTGAAGAAATGAGCAAGCCACTACCAACCACATACTTGGCTCCAAATACTCCACTCACATAGCCAGTAGGGATTGGAGCTAAGAAGGAGCCATAATTCATAGAGCTAAGGATGATTCCCTGGATTTCAGGGCTCCAGTCATACACAGGGGCCTATGGGGAAGAAAAGGATCTCATTGGTTATAGAGCTGGTAATCTTTATTTGTGAGGACTTACAGGCAAAATAGTTGTGTGGACTCTTTCTGACTTTTATCATTCTCCAACTCCTTCAAGTTTCTAATTTCATTTAAAACAAAACCAAACCCCCTTAAATATGTACAGGACACATTCCCCTTCCCCTGACACAATTCAGCAATCATTTCAAATATGAGACCTGTATAGAAAGAAAGGTTGTAAAGCAGAAAACCTTTGCCACGTGATTTCTAAAATGCTGACATAACAAAGAAAAATAGACATAAACATATGACACTTAATCGTGAAGCTTGTCATACGTCCATACAGTGAAACCTGTGAGAGCTGAAACTTGACAACTCTGCCATGTTTTTGGAAAAAGTCTGAAAAGTTTTCAGCCTTAGACAGTCTTAACACATTTTTATTATTTTAGCTTTTCTTTCTCCAGAAGATTTCCATCTTACCCAGTTTTTGGCTTTTGCAAGTTTTATCATATATATGATAGATACAGTAAATATCTATCCTCTAAATATATATATATATATATATATATATATATAGAGAGAGAGAGAGAGAGAGAGAGAGAGAGAGAGAATATGAGATTATCAATGTATTGAATTATCAATTCAGTCTTAAAATCTGTTTCTTTTAATCTAACTTAGTCCTGGAATGTACTCACAGACACACAAAGGCTAAGAAACTATATCATCTCCTTAGATGCATATTATGTACCTAGATCATAGTAGACTCTCAATTAATTTTGAGAATATTTAGCTGAAAGAATGGCATCTTTGATCAGATAACCAATTCGTTCAAACCATTTTAAAGAAGAGAGAGAAGAGAGAGGGAAGGAAGGAAGGAAGGAAGGAAGGAAGGAAGGAAGGAAGGAAGGAAGGAAGGAAGGATAAAAAATTCCATGGTATCAAACTTACTAATGCCTTCAATTCCTTTAGAGTTTCATTCCAATAGCCTTGGGAGCTGGCAGATGGCATTTTTGTGGAGGCATTAAGATGGCTATGTAGAGCTGTATAATTCACCATGGCTGGGATGGCAATCCCCAAGCTCATTTGTTGAGTGAAAACTGCAAAATTGCAGAGCAACAAGATGAAAGCCAGACTATGTCGAACGGAAAAGCATCCTAAGGAGGGAAGACACAGAAAGTCATATAATCAGATCACTCTTCTTCCATCAAGAAGAGGGAGAAAATAAATGACTGAATCAGAAGCAAAGGGAGATGTTTCAAGACTACTTGCTCCCCTGGGAGATAAAGGAGGAAGTAGAACAAGTAGATATTTAACAATGTGTGTAGCTAGGCTAGATTTCAAGAACAGAGGAAGGCAAATTTTATCCTACAATTCTCTGAGCTTGGACAAAATTGATTAGTGTTCCATGGTAGTTCTACCACTCAACCCAGGGTTAAGTACATAAATCTTTGTTGAATCAGTCATATAATAGCGTGCATTTTGGTGGATGAAAGGAAGCTGAGTACATGCTTACATGTCAGAGATGATTGTTGTTGCTGTTGTTATTGTTGTTATGTGCCATCGAGTCATTTATGACTTATAGTGGCACTATGTACAACAGCCCTGAAACTTGCTATATCCTGCACCAACTTTACTATCTGCAACACACCTATCCTTATTACCCCAATCACTGTATCAATCCAACTCATCGATGATCGTTCTCTCTTTCTACATCCCTGCACCCTTCCAAGCATGATGTACCTCTCCAAAAACCAATCCCTCCTTGCAATATGCCCAAAGCATGTCAGGTGAAGTTTCAGATTCCTTGCCTCCAAGGCTGGCTTCACACCCTCTAGGATGAACCTATTTGCTCTCCTGGCAGTCCATGGTATATTCAAAACTCTTCTTCAGCACCTCAGTTCAAAAGCATCAATTCTCTATCATTGTCCAGCTCTCTGATGCATAGCAAGCAATTGCAAAGACTATGGATCAGATGCACTTTAGTCTCCAGGCTGATATCGTTGTTCTTCAGTGCTCTGGAGAAGTTTCTGACAGCCGACTTTCCCAATGCAATTCATCTCTTGACTTCCTGGCTGCTAGTACCAGAAGTGTTGATTGGGAGCCAAGCAAACTAAAGCTGTTAACAATCTCAATATCTTCACCATCCATCATGATACTGCCAATAGGCCCAGAGGTGAGAATCTTTGTTTCCTTGATGTTGAGCTTCAATCCATATTGAAAGCTGCCCTTCAAGGCATGTAAAAAAACACAGTCCTGATGCTGTTTTGGAACAAAATCAGTAAGAATGGATAGCACAGTATTCCATTGTGTAAGTTAACTCTTGCTATGTTTCTGGATTTGACATTAAGACATTCACTTGGAATTAGTTCTGTAAGGATTTATTCAATCTCCCTTCATCCACCAAAATTTATATTATGTTGACCAACATAATATTAATACTATACATTCAAAGGAATGGTCATATATGGAGTTTAGCCTCCTATAGCCATGAACAGGAATGCTTTTCAATGCATTCTAGTCTTTTTTTCCTATTATAAAGTGAAATTTCATGGTACCTTCAATTAATCCTAGAACTATTTTTAAAATACTTTTTACATTTTTCACAATTCCTATCATTTTAATTTGTTATTGTAAATTCAGTTTTGACTGAAAAATATTATTTGCAAACAACAAAACATTGTTGATTCTGTGACAGTGGCTAAAATGACAGTATTCGTAACATTTATTTTATTTGTTTAGGTGGCACAATCCTGCTTGTTGAAACTGAGGAGAACTTGAAGAACTTGCAGAAGATCAAGAAATGTAGCCTTCAGTATGGATGGCACCTCAATGTCCAGAAAACAAAGATTCCTACCACTGGACTGATAGACATCATGATGGATGGAGAGAAGATTGAAACTGTTAACAGCTTCATCTTGCCTGGGTCCATAATCAACACCCTTGGTACCAGTAGTCAAGAAAAAAGGAGGCACTGGGAAAATCGGCAGTTAGGGACCTCTCCAAATTATTGAGTAATTATGTCAATTTAAGGACTAAGGTGCATCTGATTCAGTCTATGGTCTTTCTGATCACTTGCTATGCATTTGAGAGCTGGACAATTAATGATGACAGAAGAATTAGTGCCTTTGAGCTGTGGTGTTGGAGAGGAGCTCTGAACATCCCATAGATAGCCAAGAGAACAAAGATAAGTCTTGGAGAGGGTGCAGCTAGGGTGCTCTTTGGAGACAGGAATGATGAGATTTCACCTCACATACTTTGGACATATTGCTAGGTGGGGCTCTTCCTTGAAGAGGGAAGGGTGGAAGGTTTATGAAGGAGAGGAAGACTCTCAACCAGGTTTACTGACACGGTAACTGCCACATTGGACTCTTGTGTGCCGAGAATGTAAAGATGGCACAGGATAGAACAGGGTTCAGATCTTTTATTCAAAGGATTGCTATGAGTCATACTCAACTCAATGGAATCTAACAACAACCAATATTATTCACCTGCATTTTAAAAAGGCCCAATAGTAGTAGTATCATTTGTTATAGTCATGGTTGCTGATAAGCCTTATATTTTTATTACTTTATTTACTATTTTAATCCTTCTGTTACTACATTACTAGACGGAGCTCTGTAGCCTTGTTAGTAAAGAGTTGTGCTGCCAACCAAAGGCAAGTAGTTTGAATCCACTAGCCACTCCTTGGGAGAAAGACGAGCATTCTTCTTCCATATGATTTATAGCGTCTGGCAGGTCAGTTACAAGTCAGTTCTGACCTGACAGCACGTAACAACAAAATATTTTTTTATAACAATAATTGCCACTGGATGTGTGGATCATAGCAAATGGTGGCTAACCTTGAGAAGAATGGGAATCCCCGAACAATTGATTGTGCTCATGTGAAACCTTCACTCAGACCAGGAAGCCGTCCTCAGAACAGAGCAAGAAAACAATGCATGGTTTAAAATCAGGAAAGGAGTGTGTCAGGGATGTGTCCTGTCTCCATACCTTTTCAATCTATATACAAAACAGATCATTTGGGAGGCTGGGCTTTATAAAGAAGAATGTGAAATCAGGATTGGAGCAAAACTCATCAACAACCTGTGTTATGCTGATGACAGTCTTGCTTGCTGAAACTGAGGAGGAGCAGAAGCACTTGATGCAGAAGGTCAAGGACTGTACTTTTCAATAGGGATTGAAGCTCTACACCAATCAGATGAAGATTCTCACAAGTGGGCCAATTGGCAGCACCATGATAGATGGAGAAGAGATTGAGGAAGGTTATTAACAATTACAGCATGCTCAGCTCCACAATCAACACTCTTGGCACCAGTTGTTAGGAAAACAAAAGATAAATTGCATTAGGTAAATCTGCTGTCAAGGACCTCTCTAGAGTACTGAGAAGCAACAATGTCAGTCTAGAGACTAAGGTGTGCCTGATCCAGGCCATGGTCTTCACAATTACTTGCTTATCAGAGAGCTGGACTATAACTAAGGATGATAGAAGAACTGATGCCTTTGAGTTGTGGTGCTAGAGAAGGGTCTTGACTATAACATGGACCTCCAAGAAAACAAACAGGTCTGTCTTGAAGAGAGTGAAACTCCAAAGGCTTTGAAACTCCATCTCACATACTTTGGGCACATGGCCAGGAAGGACCACTAATTGGAGAAGGACATCAGGCTTGGAAGGGTGGAGGGACAGTGAAAGAGGAAGATCTTGGATGAGACAAATTGACTCAGTAACTGGGGCAAATGAGGGTAGGTGTATCAGAGTCAATGAGATGAGCTCAGGACAGGGCAGGCTTCAGAGCTGTTGTGTATAGGGTCGCTATGAGTCACAAGCGACATGATGGCACCTTACAACAACAATGCTATTATTTACAAAGTACTATTAAAATCCACTGTACTCACCCTTTCTCTTCACCTTTCTTGCCCCAATACTACATTTTTGATAATTTTATTCAAACAAGTGGATTTTCTCAAATGTATTCGAATTGATTCCTATGTATACCATCAGGTGAAGTCCATGTGTATAACCTGCGTTTGTGTCTCTTATAAAATGTATTTGCAATGAATAAGTCATTGATTTCACAAAATTCAATCATTC